CTAAATAAAAAAAAATGTAAGTTTTCATAATTTCATTTATTTATTTTTTTCATATAATGAAAGCCGAAGCAACGTAAAATTTATTTTACCACTGAAGAATGATGGTCTCATTGGCATAAAATGAAAATAAAATAAAATAGCCAAAAGTCACAATAAAAAAAAATTGTAAATTTTTTTCTCTACTTTTATGAATATCTTTTTATAAAATGTTTAAAAATCAATTAAAATAACTAATTCTCAAAACAATCCTTTGGCAACTCAATAAAATATTCCCAAAACCAAAACCTCGTTACAAAATGTCGATCACTTCTCTTTACTTTTTTTTTTTTTAACACGTTTTTTGAAAAAATTAAAAAAATATATTAAAATAGCCAATACTCAAAACACCCCTTAGTCCTTATTTGACATCCAGCTAAAAAAGTCAAGTTTTTTTCTAGTGATTTTTTTATTAGAATTTTTTTTCCATGTTCAACTAGTGCAAAAAAATCTAAAAAGTAAAAAATTAAATCAAGAAATTCAAGTCACTACTAGAAAAAACACTTTTGGTGACCACCTATTTTTTTTTGTCGCAAATAGTCCACTTTCTGCGACTAAAATTTAACTTTTGGCGACCACAATTTTTTAGTCGCGGAAAATCACCTTTTGGCGACCAAAAAAAAAAGTTGGTCGCGGAAAGTATACTTTTGGCGACCAAAGGCTTTTAAAAAATTAAATCAAGAAATTCAAGTGTAGGGCCTAATGATTTGAAATTTTCTCATTTGCAATTTACAAATAATACTATCATTTTTTGTGAGGCTCAATGGGAGGAAATTGTGAGCATTAAGAGAATTCTAAGATGATTATGAGGTAATGTCTGGTCCAAAAATAATTTTTCATAAAAATGTGGTGTGTGGGGTTGGTGTGAGTGATGATGTGATTAAGGACTTTGCTACAAAATTTAACTACCTCAAAGCTTCTAATTAATTATCTTGGCCTCCTCTTGGGCACATCCGAGAAAGGAAAAGCCCTTAACCAGTGATTGAGAAGATAAATAAGAACTTGGCAACTAGTGATTGAGAAGGAAAACACTTGGCAACCAGTGATTTAATAATGTCATTAATTGTCAAATTTGGTAACGAAAAATGCTTGAGACCCCTACTTTTTGAAGATCCTCACAACTCCTTTTAGATCTCCACCATTAATGTATGTATGAGACTCACTCATGTATGTGTGGAGCCCACACCATTAATGGTGGAGATCCAAAAGACGTTGTGGGGGGTCTCCAAAAAATGAGAGTCTCAATCATTATTATTTTTGTAACATTTTAAGAAATTTATTATAGAAATGTCACTAATTATATGTTTTAGCGACAGTTTAAATTTTTTTAAAAAAAGTCATTAATTATTAGTTTATAGTGACATGCTTACAAATTGTCACAAAAAGTCTTTTTCATCGATGATTTTAATGGGACTAACTTGTAGCGACGAATTGATAAGACTTAATGAAAATTAAATCTAACTATTAAGACTTGATAATTTATCATAAATATTTTTTTAAAAAATACCACTTAATTATAATTCTTCCTCATCGTTTCGTCACTTATCATCTTTGTAACTCCCTGAAAAACAGTCAAACTCTTATTTTGTGTACAAATTAAACAGACTCGTCAATGGATTCAAAGTAAACGTGATACCACATTTTATATTATTCTTTTTAATCACTTTTTAGATATTTTTATACTTTTTATTTTAAAAGTACTAAAAATGATAATTGGTGATCTAAATTCAATTCTTGCATAACCAAATACTTAAACTGAATTTGGATCACACATTATTTTCTTTGTACTATTATATATTTGAGTTTTTGATTTCTAGCATTACTGCTCATCTCATATTATTATTTTCATTCACCCTCTACATGTTTTTTTATAGTTTTATTTGTACTCTTTAAAAAAACTATACAATAAAAACATTATATCCATTTTTAAAAAATTTGAGATTTTTTTTTTTTATTTTTTTTTTATACAGCGTAAGCCTTCATCTCTTAAGTGAAAGCAAAGCAATAGTAAGAATTCCATAACAAACATTTATTTTATATTATTGTAGTCACATATTTAATTAATATCATTTATAATTATAATTTTTTAAAAATATGAATAAAATTCTTGTATTTCATAAGAGTACACCGATACCATAAACTATCACCATTATTGTATTATGTTTGGTTGACTTTCTAAGTATAGTGGATTAGTATTTTGTTTAACAATATAAATATTTCTCATAATTGTAATTATTCTTCTATTAATTGACAAATATATATATATATATATATATATATATATATAAAATTAGTGACATGAATATTATATATTTCAAACCCAATTAAAAATATAGACAATTATTAATAAATGCTAAATCTATGACTTATGGATCATTTACTACCATAAATATTATTATGAACTCATAATTCCTATCTCACATTAAAATCTTCCAAATAAAACATACCCATATTTGGAAACGTAATAAGATATAGTGCAGACATTAAAATGATATTTCATTGTCACATTTTAATAATTACATTTGGCAAATTTTTTTTTTGATCGACAAAAATGAAAATTTCATTAAAAACATGAAATTATAGGTACATGGAAAAGAAATGCACCGAGAGAGATTCATAGAATGCTAACTCCCCTACTACTGTAGCTCATACAACCAACCCCTTGACCTCACTAATATTTAAATAACAACAAAAAAAAGAGAGAAAAATAATAATATATATATATAAAGAGTAATAAGACAATAGTGAACAAATGCCCATTGTCACATTTTAAAAAGAATGACATATTTGACAAAGACTTAATAAGATATTAACATACACATTAGAATGATGTTGTATTGTCACATTTAAAAATTATATATTTGGCAAAACTTTAATAAGACAATGGTACATAAATGTCTCATTATTATATTTTAAAAAGAATAACACATTTGGTAAAAAATTAATAAGACATTACTACACACATTAGAATGATATGCCATTGTCAGGTTTTTAAAAATGACATATTTGACAAAAATTTAATAAAATTATAATGCACATTTTAGAATGATATTCAATCACCACGTTTTAAGACAAACACATAAACAATTTATTTATTTTTTTATTTTTCTTTCACTTTCTAAGTCATTTTTCCAGCAGTGACATTAGAATGATATGCCATTGTCAGGTTTTTAAAAATGACATATTTGACAAAAATTTAATAAAATTATAATGCACATTTTAGAATGATATTCAATCACCACGTTTTAAGACAAACACATAAACAATTTATTTATTTTTTTATTTTTCTTTCACTTTCTTGTGTTATCTATTTAACAAACTAAGCCTTAAAGAAAATATATGATGACAAATACGATTAAAAGGGAAAAAGGTGGGAAGAGTATGCGACATGGATTTTAATTTAAATGAGTTTTTTTAAGTAAATAAAAAAACTTATTTACAAATTTTGGTTTGAAAGAGAGAACTTAAAGGAGGCAGATTTAGAAAGAATTTAATAATAATTAACAGAAAATTTCTTAATTTGATTGAAAATTGAGGATCCCCTCCAGTCACAGTTTGTAGGGCTCACCACGGGTCCATTCTGATAATTCAAATCGTTTATTTTATCAGGTTATTTGTATATTTCATCCACACACAAAAAAAAAAAAAATCAATGTGTTTGGTTTCAGTTTTCTGAAAAATGAGTTTTTTTTCGTATTTTTTAGTTTTTAGTTAATATTTTTTAAATTTTAAGTAATTTTTTTTTACTTTTTTAGATACACCTTACTTAGATGTATTTAAATAGTAAAATATTTGTGAAAAAATATTTTAAAAAATTAATAAATACACAAAAATACGAAAAATGTATTGAATTTTCTATTTTTTTTTGGTATTTAGTGTATTTTTTAAATATTTTTTTCACAAATATTAAAATTTTTAAGTATATTTATGTTAGGTGTGCCTAAAAATTAAAAAAAAAAATTGCTTAAAATATTTAAAAAATTCATTGAAAATATTAAAATACGAAAAATAAAAAAAAATAGATTTTTTTGAAAACTGTTTTCTGAAAACTGGAACCAAATAATATTTGGGACCCCATTTTTGGGGGTTCCATGACCCCCAATTTGATCTTGGCCCTTGATGTGTGTATGAGGTCCATTCATGTATGTGTGGGCCTACATTATGAGTGGTTGGGATGAGAGTAGAGATTGTGGGAGTCATGTATGTGTAGGGGTCTCTATTACAATTGAAAAAAAAAATAGATCAATCCAACAACTGTTACTAGTTCAGTTTATCGCATTTTTCACACAAAAAAAAAAAAAAGAGTATAGTTTATTTTTTGTTGTCTATATTTTTTTGTGAAAAATGCGATAAATTTAATTAGTTACAGTTATTGAATCATTGAATCGATTTTTTTTTTTTTTGTAAAAAAAATATATAAAATATTTAACAAAATAAACCATTTAGATTATCAAAATAGAACTTATGATGAATCCTACAAACTGGAACAACCCTGTCCAGTCCAAAACAGTGACAGGAGGGAATCTTCCTTTCGTACGTAGCTTCTTATAGTAATAATTGATGAGGAATTTCCAGTTCAAAGTCCAACAATATTTTATAATTTATGATAGTATACGTTTTTTTTTATTATCGGCTTTTCAGGTAGTATATATGAGAAACTTTGTGTGGCCCTTTTTTTAAGAGATTAAGTTTCCATTCATAATTTTGTTTATTCATATTTTTCCATATCCCTCTTATGGACCTTAATTCAGATATGCACAGATAAACCGTCTATTTTATAGACCCTACAATAATAAATTAGATAGTTCAAATTATCAATGCAAGATTAGATTGGACCCACACAAACATAAAAGAAAAGGTATGAAGAGGAGCTCTCTCCCTATAAATACATGCATCACCTCAGAACCTATTATGCCATCTCAGTATAAATCTGTGTTCGTCTTTTTGAATCTATTTCATAAAAAATGCCTTCTTTTCTTAAACACCTCCACAATCTCTTCACCTTTATCGCTTTGCTTTCATTATTAATAATTTCATCTAATGCTGCTTTCTTATCTACTAAAGCCACATGGTATGGAGATCCTAGCGGTTTTGGGGCCAATGGTGAGGGGAGAGAGAAATTCATTTTTGATGTTTATGATATATAGATAGATGTTATAATATTACATATTGTTTTGTTTAACTTGAGCCTTTACTCACATATGCTTATCTTTTATATATATATATATATATATATTTGACTAGGGTTTCACAACCTCTCCAAAGATGTAGATGGTGGTGTTTTTAGATATGTCGTTGTTGTCAAACATTGTTGTTGTGATTTATAATTTTGTTATTCATATCCTCAACATACTTTCATATGTGAATACATTTTTTTCGTTAGTCATTTTTATCTATTTATTTATTTGTGTTAATCATTAAACTTTTACTCACAACTTCCATGAAGATTAGAGAGTATATTAGCGTGACACAAGGTCACGAGTAACATAAGCAGATTTAACACGTGCAATTAAGTTTTTATTTATTTGTTAGTCATTAAACTTTTACTCACAACTTGCACGAAGGTTAGAGAGTATATTAGTGTGACACAAGATCAAGAGTAACATAAGTAGATTTAACACATGCAATTAAATTTTTATTTATTTATTTTAATTTGACTAAAACTTGATGGATCAAACTCAACACTAATAAAAGCTTCTCTTTTTTTTTCTCTTTTTTTTTTTTTTTTTAATTGTTAGACGTGCTTGGAGATCGCTTGAATTTTAATGACTTTTGAAAATCATTGGATTTTGGATTTGACAAAACAAATGAAAATGTAAGGCGAATAAAAAAAATTACTTTATATATATTATGTGTAAACAAACAAATTCGAAATATTTTAATAACTATTTATTTTTTCTTTTTTCCCTAATCTAATCAAAGGAAAAAATGTTGTTTCCTCTTTCGATTTTTTATTTTATTTTTTAAATTCAAGATTTAAACATAGTAAAATCTTTTTTAAGGAAACAATATAATGTATTTTCCAAGTGGAGGCATCCTCTTCAAGAAGCCTTCATCTAGATAGTCTAGCTACCAAAATAATGGATTATGCGTTTTGATATCATGTTAAATTATTAATTACTAATTCATCAAATAATTTAAATTATTAGAAAAAACTAAAATCTTTACCTCTATACATGTATATATATTTATTTATTTATTATTGTTATTTTTTGATTAAAGTATCATAACCTTTGACACTAATATTTGGAATGTAGGGGGTGCTTGTGGATATACCGATATCCTTGGAAAAGCTCCATTCTATAAAATGGTGTCAGCTGGAGGCTATGCTCTATTCAAATCAGGCATAGGATGTGGGACATGTTATCAGGTGCCAAAGTTCTATTTCATGCTTTTTATTTCTATTATCTATTATTGCGATCTATTGTATGTCTTATTTTAATTATTTGAATCATTTATTTTGTGAGATTTGTCATAAATCCATTACAACAAAATGCACTTCCGGCGATCAAAATTGGCGACTAAAAAAAATTTAGTAACCAAAAGTTGCGGAATTAGTGACCAAAATTTTTTTCAGTCGGCAAAAGTAAAATATTTAGTTACTAATTTTTTTTAGTCGGGGTATATTGATTATTGGCGACTAAAAAAAAATTTGACTTTAGGCGAATAAAATCTTAATAGCCAAAACATTGCTATTTACTTAGACCACTAATATATTTAGTAGCTAAAACTCTTTTCCGCGACTAAATGATTAGTCGTTAAAAATAACTAAACTTTTAGCGACAAAAAAATTAGTCGCCAAAAATATGATATTTAATTGTATTTCAAACCTTTTGGCCACTAAAAACTTAGTCGGTAATGTAGTACATTTGGCGACTAAAACAATTTTAGTCGCCGATGATCTTTCCCGACAATTCTTCCCCAACTAATTATGTGACCAAATATTTTTGTCGCTAAAAGCCTCAGCTACCAAATAATGACTTTTGGGGATTAAAAATTTAGTCGCCAATAGTAAAGATTCTTGCAGTGATCATTCCGGAAAAATTAAAAATACACATCTCAATGTTTACTTAAAATACAAATTATCCCCTGTGATTCTAGAAATTACAGGTCGCCTCTTCATATTAAATTTCTTTTGGCTAATCAAAAAAAAAAAAAAAAAAAAAAAAAAAAAAAAAAAAAAACAAACAAACAAACCAATAAGCTCTTGTTTTAAAAAATCATCAAATCAATTAATATTTTATGATGATATCATAAATATTTTTCAATTAACAATTATGTAATTTCATCGTTATATAGAAAAATAGTTAGAAATTTAATCAACTTGTTTGATTCCAATTTTTTGAATTCAATTTTCTGATAATTGAGTTTTTTGTTTTTTATATTTTTTTTAGTGAATTTTTTAATATTTTAAGCAATTTTTTATACTTTTTAGATACACCTAACCTAGATGTACCTAAAAAGTAAAATATTTTAAAAAAATCAATAAATATACAAGAATACGAAATTGTACTGAATTTTTATAATTTTTTTTTTTGTATTTTCGATATTTAGTGAATTTTGTAAAGATTTGTTTTTTCAAATATTATACTTTTTAATTGTACTTATATTAAGTGTATCGAAAAAGTAAAAAATTGTTTAAAATATTAAAGTTTACTGAAAACAAAAATAAAAACACAAAAAAAAAAAACCTCAATTTTATTAATTTTGTTGAATAAAAAATTCTTACAATAGGGTATTTATAATTTTCAGAAGCACAAAGGATGATTTGTATTTTAAGAAAATCTTAGAGATTGTATTTGTAATTTACCCAAATGAACAATTTTCGAAATAATACTTGTCTTCTATTTTTCTTGAAAATAAATATAATGAAATCATAGTGTTATGAATATCGAATGAATCTTTTTTTATTATTTATTATTATTTATTAATGATCAACATACAATAACAAACAAAATGAACAATTCAAGTTGTTGAAATAGAATCCGTAGTGGCCGCAACAGTACCCCATTAGTAAAACAATGGATTGGCGAGAATCCTTCCCCATTAATGTTATTGAAAAATACCAAAAGTGTTTTCATTGTTTTCATGCATTGATAATTGAAGCTATCTAATATGTGTATATATGGTTTTGAAAACATATATATAGGTGATATGTACATCAAATCCAGCATGTTCAGGGCGTCCTATAACGGTAATTATAAGTGATTTGTGCCCTGGTACTTGCGGCGCATATCAATTTGATCTAAGCGGAGCTGCTTTTGGAGCCTTGGCTATTCGTGGTCGAGAAGATGAATTACGCCATGTTGGCCAGGTGCAGATTCAGTATCAAAGGTTAGAATATATTTATATTAGTGGGTGTGTACCTACTTGATAAATGTGTCATTAAATTTATAAAATATATTTAAAAGTATATATAGTAAATATTGCTTCTAGAGTCTTGTTTTTTACCGGAGCGAAGGTCTTGGGTTCAATTTCTATTCTCGTCACTATATAATTTTGTTTTTAAATAGAGAAATAAGAAATTAAATTAAATTCATTTTGATACCTAAAATTTGTATTGTTTGAAATCGTAAGAACCTTTTAAAACTAAGATAAAGTTCTAACTTACATGCGTTTTACTTAATTTTGTTTGAAGACTCAAAAAAGGATCAACTATTCGTGTCCTTTAATTCGTCCATCTTTTTATTTTAATAGACTCTTAATTATTAAATTATATATATATATATTGCAGGGTTCCATGTCACTACACCGGTTTTAACTTGGCGTTTAGGATAGATAGTGGATCAAACCCTTTCTATTTTGCTACAGCAATTGAGTATGAAAATGGAGCTGGTGACATGTCCGGAGTTGAAATCCAAAATGGAGCCTCAGGCAGGTGGCTTCCAATGCAACAATCATTTGGTGCTGTTTGGAAAATCAATGCTGCCATGCCCGGTCCCCTCTCTTTTCGCATTACATCATCTTCCCGCCAGACTCTGGTGGCTACCAATGTTATTCCGGTGGGATGGAAGCCTAATCAGATGTACTATTCACATGTAAATTTTTGATGACAGCTTTTAAGAATGTCCACGTTTATTAGGGTTTGTTAGACTCTGTTTGGGAAATGCAAGAATAAAAAAGTCACTTCTGACTGTTTAATCCAAGAATATTTGGTTGTTTGGTTTTAAATTGTTTGACTCACAATTAGACTTTGGGGTGTGCTTGTGCATTTGATGCAGTGAGATTTTGAGCAGGAGTCGATGAAGTGATATCAATAATCTAGCTAGTTAACATGCTAACTTTCTTGGTGTAATGAGGGGTAGGATTCAAGTTTTTTTTATCAGTAAAAAAGAATAACTTTTATTGATGCGTCATTAAAATAATTATAACAATAACAACGGAAAGACCAAGTGTAAAGAGTATCATAACGAAATATACCCATCCTAACTAAGTTGGCACTAATATGAACGGCCCATCATGCGTTACCACAAAGTCAAGTTTGGTGTCACCAAACAAAAGTCAAAAGCAAACAGGCCCACCAACCAGTACAACGAGTAAGAACACAACCAAGCAGCTACAGAGCAACAAAACACATCAAGATTTTAAGGAACATCTCCGATTAAAAATAAAGTCAGAGATTGAGTAAGGAAACTCCTTGATTGATGCCTTAAGCCGAAGAGTTGTCCGAATTTTTATAAGCATTATTGAAGATACAATCATTCCTCAACTTCCAAAGAGACAGCAGAACAACCAAGGGTACAGCCTCCAGCTTTGGGATTCAAGTTGATAAAATCAATTACGAATTAGTAACTTAATTAATTAACCCGCTAACATAAGACCTCTAAAAAAACTCACAAGATCCACTTTCACCAATGTTTGGTGACTGTTAAAAAAATTAAATTTATTTTTTCTAAACTGCTTTATCTTTAGTAGTTTTCTTTACTTTATATTGAAAAAATTAGTTTTTTTTTCCTGCTAATCTAGAAAGATAAAATAAAATAAAAATTTTAAATAAATAAATAATAATAATAAATAGAGTAATAATATATAGTCAGAAAATTCGTAAAGAATTTTCATGCAAAATGATTTGTCACTTTAAAACAAACTACTCGTAAAAGGAACTTATATTTACAAAAGAAATGGCACAACTACATTATCAGATTTCCTGCAGTGTGAGGGGTGTGGTATGCTGAGTCATTTTGTTGTGGTAGTTGCTGCAAAGGTGTTTAGGTGTGTTCTGATGTTGTCTTGTTCTCTCACTGTTCTGGAAGTCTATGGGAAGATACTCTGTTTTACTTGGTGGTTTGGGTGGGATTGGCTACTCTGTTTGGCATTCTTATTGGGAAGATTTTGGCATTCTTATTGGGGTTGCTGCTTTGGGTTCATTGTTTCCTTTTTGTTTTTCCCTTTTTCCTCTCTTATTTAGTTGGTTTCTCATCAACTTTGATGATGCTTTAGCATATGATTATGCTTCTTTCTCGGTGTCAATCTAGTTGAAATCGTCGAGGTCGCTTTGCTGCTTTTTGCACTCATCCGTTTGCTTTTGATGCACTCTTTCGATTCATCTATAAAGTTTTTTTCTTTTTACCGATCAAAAAAAAAAAATTCTTGTGATGTTTTTTATTTTCTCATCAACTTTGATGATACTTTAGCATATGATTATGCTTCTTTCTCGGTGTCAATCTAGTTGAAATCGCCGAGGTCGCTTTGCTGCTTTTTGCACTCGTCCGTTTGCTTTTGATGCACTCTTTCGATTCATCTATAAAGTTTTTTTTTTTTACCGATCAAAAAAAAAAAAAATTTCTTGTGATGTTTTTTATGTGAATTTTATCTATAACTTTCCTAATAAATAATAACACATCAACTTAGTTAAAATTCTCCAAAAACATAAAAGCTAATTTTTTTTTTAGTACTTGCTAGACTTTTTTTTTTTTGAAAATTAGTACTTGCTAAACTCACAAGTTGTTTTAGCAAAAAGTTAATCTTTAAAATTAAAATAAAATAAAAAAGCAAAACTCTACTAATTACCAAACAAATTCTTAATTGCATTAATGATATTTATCAAAATATACAATTTGTTACACTTTAGTCACATTTTTTAATTTATTCACTTTTGTTACTGAAATATGTAATTTGTTACACTTCCAACTTTGTGATTGGTGTTGTTCATATGAATATTATTAATCCAATTTTTTACATAATTGATCTTCCTTATTTTTCTTTTTTAATCTACTTAATGAGTTTTATCATATAAACCATTCAGATCATAAAATTGATCCTAGATAAACCCACTAAAGAGCAGCTGTGCCCAAAGCAGAAACTCCTCATACAATGTGAAGTGGTACTGTAAGAATAAATGTATAAAGAGAGAATAAATTGTGTATATATTGATATATGTTATTGTGTGAATACAAGAGAATGAGCCCTCTCTCTTTATAGAGAGGAGAGGGAGACAATTGGAATACTTAAGCACCGAAAGCATAGTGGGTGAGCTCTTTACAGCCTCATACAATGTGAAGTGGTACAACGCTTAATACAACCCACACTCAAATTTGTATGTGATTAGCCCTTATGTAAATCAATAATACTCGCGAAGGTTGAAGAAATGGTTAACCCACTACGATTTATTTTGACAAATAGGTTAAAAATCAATATATTAATTTTTAAGAAAATATCATTTTACTTCCCAAATTTTTATGCATTTTTCACTTTGACCCCTAGACTTTGATTAATATCAATTTTACACTCAAGCTTTTGAAATTTTGATCAATTTGGCTCATGCCGTCACGTTCTGTTTACAATTGGACGGAATGTGCTGACGTGACACCAAAGTTCATTTGGAATTTTATTTTATCCCCCAAATTATACTTGAAAATCAATTCGACCCTCAAATATAAAAAAAAAAAAAAAAAAAATTGATAATCCGTCTTCCATGTGAGATTTTGCTACCTTTAACTTGTGCTTTAATTTGGTAATCCTACCACTTACCACTAAAAATGTGGACGTGAAGTACTCTCGCAAGGGCTATTTAAGCACATTTTATGATCATTACAGATATTTAAAAAATAAAAAATTTGGAAATGAGCTAAAGATTCATGTGATATTGCAGGGTTCCATGTCACTACACTGGTTTTAACTTGGCATTTGGAATAGATAGTGGATCAAACCCTCTCTATTTTGCTACAGCGATTGAGTATGAAAATGGAGCTGGTGACATGTCCAGAGGTGAAATCCAAAATGGAGCCTCAGGCAGGTGGCTTCCAATGCAACAATCATTTGGTGCTGTTTGGAAAATCAATGCTGCCATGCCCGGTCCCCTCTCTTTTCGCATTACATCATCTTCCCGCCAGACTGTGGTGGCTACCAATGTTATTCCGGTGGGATGGCAGCCTAATCAGATGTACTATTCACATGTAAATTTTTGATGATAGCTTTTAAGAATATCCACATTTATTAGGGTTTGTTAGACTCTGTTTGGGAAATCCAAGAATAAAAAAGTCACTTCTGACTGTTTAATCCAAGAATATTTGGTTGTTTGGTTTTAATTGTTTGACTCGCAATTAGACTTTGGGGTGTTCTTGTGCATTTGATGCAGTGAGATTTTGAGAACAAGTCTATGGAGTGATATCAATAATCTAACTAGTTCACGTGCTAACTTTCTTGGTGTAATGAGGTCTAGGATTCAAGTTTTTTTTATCAGTGAAAGAGAATAACTTTTATTGATTCATCATTAAAATAATTACAACAACAATAAGGGAAAGACCAAGTGCAAAGAGTATCATAACGAAACATACTCATCTGAACTAAGTTGGCACTAATATGAACGGCGAATCATATCTTAGCACAAAGTCAAGTTTGGTGAGAAACCAAACAAAAGTCAAAAGCAAACAGGCCCACCAACCAGTACAAGGAGTAAGAACACAACCAAGCAGCCACAGAGCAACAAAACACATCAAGATTTTAAGGGACATCTCTGATTAAAAATAAAGTCAGAGATTAAGGAAACTCCTTGATTGATGCCTTAAGCCAAAGAGTTGTCCTGAACTTCCAGAGAGACCGCAGAACAACCAAGGGTACAGCCTCCAGGTCTGGGATTCAAGTTGATAAAATCAATTACGAATTAGTAACTTAATTAATTAACCCGCTAACATAAGACCTCTAAGAAAATTAACAAGATCCACTTCCACCAATGTTTGGGGAATGTTAAAAAAAAAATTTTTTTTTTTTCTAAACTGCTTTATCTTTAGTAATTTTCTTTAATTTGTATTGAAAAAATTAGTTTTTTTTTCCTGCTAATCTAGAAAGATAAAATAAAATAAAAATTTTAAATAAATAAATAATAATAATAAATAGAGTAATAATATATAGTCAGAAAATTCGTAAAGAATTTTCATGCAAAATGATTTGTCACTTTAAAACAAACTACTCGTAAAAGGAACTTATATTTACAAAAGAAATGGCACAACTACATTATCAGATTTCCTGCAGCGTGAGGAGTGTGGTATGCTGAGCCATTTTGTTGTGGTAGTTGCTGCAAAGGTGTTTAGGTGTGTTCTGATGTTGTCTTGTTCTCTCACTGTTCTGGAAGTCTATGGGAAGATACTCTGTTTTACTTGGTGGTTTGGGTGGGATTGGCTACTCTGTTTGGCATTCTTATTGGGAAGATTTTGGCATTCTTATTGGGGTTGCTGCTTTGGGTTCATTGTTTCCTTTTTGTTTTTCCCTTTTTTGCATCCTGAAGAGAAATCCCACTCAATTTCTTTAAAGTCTCATCAAAGCAACTGCCAGAAGTACTATGAAAACTCCAGCTGTGGCGAGACGACGACTGAGATTCGAAGAACGACAAGAACGCATCCATGGTTCTTGAGAGAGCTCGATCGATTGATTCAATTACAAGGTTGTATCTATGTAGGTATGTATATTTATGTATTGATAGAGGTGACAGCGGAATAGGTTGAGGTCCGGCGGGCGGCCAAGGCGAGGTTGCCGCCCGACTGTAATAGAATATACCATGATATTCAAATATGATCTTTTCAAAACTAATGTAAGAATAAATGTATAAAGAGAGAATAAATTGTGTATATATTGATATATGTTATTGTGTGAATACAAGAGAATGAGCCCTCTCTCTTTATAGAGAGGAGAGGGAGACAATTGGAATACTTAAGCACCGAAAGCATAGTGGGTGAGCTCTTTACAGCTTACAAATGCACTATAGTGTATAATATATTATATTGTTAACAGGTACAACGCTTAATACAACCCACATTCAAATTTGTATGTGATTAGCCCTTATGTAAATCAATAATACTCGCGAAGGTTGAAGAAATGGTTAACCCACTACGATTTATTTTGACAAATAGGTTAAAAATCAATATATTAATTTTTAAGAAAATATCATTTTATTTCTCAAATTTTTATGCATTTTTCACTTTGACCCCTAGACTTTGATTAATATCAATTTTACACTCAAGTTTTTGAAATTTTGATCAATTTGGCCCATGCCGTCACATTCTGTTTACAATTGGACGGATTGTGCTGACGTGACACCAAAGTTTATTTGGAATTTTATTTTATCCCCCAAATTATACTTGAAAATCAATTCGACCCTCAAATATAAAAAAAAAATAATTAATTTAAATATTTAATAAATAATTTTTTTATCTCAATAATGAAAATTTCAAATTTTAAATAACATATACTTTGCAAAAAAATAATAAAAAATATAAAAATCTTCATTTAGAATTATTTGGAGACTATGACGCATAGATAATTCGACAAATATGTCGCACATGTACCGGGTACTTACCGACATATAGTATTTCTGCATACGTACTAGATACATAAAACACGTACTCAAATTTTTTTCTTCTTAATTTTTGGTGTATCTAGACATATCTAGTATATACCCAAGCCGTACCATACCTTAGTCGAAAAAATATTTTTTTCTATTACAAAGATAAAATTCATTTTACTAGACTTCAGTTCTATTTATAGCTTTGTGCTTAGCATGATTTTAAAATTAAGGTATGGTTTGTAAGTTATTTAATATAATGATATTTAATTTTGATTTATCTTATACCTGTACTTTTTTTTATCAGCAAAATTGAAACTTTATTGATGAAAAAAACAATATACTTGCAAAATTTACATCAACAAAGCAGGGAAATGCACTGAGCATCATGGCTAACTTCAACAATCCCAATTAGGTTGGCACCGCAAAGAAAGTATAATCATTTGCTAGCACTTAACCCAAGATTGGTGAGAAATCAATCAAAAGCAACCAAAGAAAGAAAAAAACATAACAACAATATAGCAGCAGTGCTACAATACAACAGCAGCAACAATACAACAATGCAGTATCACACCTAAGACCAAGAAATACCTCTAAGCCAAGAAAAAACAATAATCATCATAGCAAATACATCTCTTCACCAACACCAAACCAATGAGCTACCAACAACAACAACTACACCTCATAATAGTAGCACAAACCAGTAAATCTCCTGTACCGTATAAACAACATTTCACCTGCTTCAAGTTTGCAACAATATCATGCACTGAGTAATTCACTCCTTTAATATTTGACTTAACCCATAGAGCAATTCTAACTTTCATCATCTTCGCTATCTCTGCAAAATCAAAATTGCCAACATTTAATAAGCAATCATTCTTTAGTTTCCATAAAGACCATAACATTGCCAAAGGGACAACCTTCCAAATATCCAGCTCATTTTTTCTAAATTTCATACCAAACCACCATTGCAACAAAACATCCATAGAACCTGGTGTTACCCATTTTAAATCCCACCAATTCACCAAATCAAACCATAATTTTCAGACCAATGGGCATAAAAGCATCACATGATTAACTGTTTCCACCTTTGCTGTCAATACCTATACCCCGCCCCATAAGGGTCGGTGAGGTGACCAGCCAATAATCTGAGATTACCAAAGGCCTTCCTGTACAATTGAAATAATCGAGGCTAGCAGAAGCTTAATATAAAAATATATATAACAAGTAGTCCAATGAGCTCTGCTTCTATATGAAAAGACACATGTACATAACGTTAATTTACCCATCCGGTATTTTATACATCACATCTTGTACAAAACATTTATATCCATATACACAAAGCATCATTCGTGTACAAATAAACATATAACAAAAGCCCGACAATGTGATCACAAGCTATGCAACGGTCTTCGCGACCTAGCCTCAACTCAGAGGCACCGAAACTCATACGGCTTTAAAGGGTGGCTTGAGTCTCTCCTTAAGTTGGTTCTCCATGACGCTCACCTACATATATATATAAAATAATGAGCTAAAGCCCAGTGAATAACATTAACATAAAGACGTTAGTGAACGAATACCATTCATCTCTTAAACATAACACAAATCATATCAGAATCATTTACATATCAGAACATAATAGTGGTACATGTAGCAGAACATATCACATATTGTCTTCCGGCTAGAGTAATCGGTTTTGGATACTGAGAGGGGGTTTTTATGTGCACTTAGGGCTGAGCTAGGCCTAGTCATTACAGTAGATCGATTCATGGGCCGTAGTAAAAAGGGCTTCGCAGATTGGACCTAGCTTTGTTAGCTCAATCTAAGTGTGGTGACAATTACTCTGGTTGAAGAGATGGTTGCAAATAGCTCGGTTCATATACTCCGGTTCGAATAGTTGAACGGTGACCGAGCTAAGGCGTCATATGTGGACGCGATAAGCTGAATTATAAGAGCAAGGTAGGACTGAGCTAGGTGAAGCACGGTTGAAGCTGCCGCCTAAATATAGCGGTGTTAGCTCGGTTGTGTAATCATACAACCGTAGTAAAACCATTTTACCTGGTTAGAGCAGTGAAGAGGGTGTTGAAGGATAGGCATTATCTTTCAGAAATGTGATTCCTAGGAGGACTTTACATTGAGGAATAAAGAGTCCTACTAGGATTGTACCAGGCAAAACCTACAAAAGCTTATGACATGACCTATTTACAGGTATCATAACTTTGATTCTTGAATACATAGAGCTTTTGTCTATTTGTCTATTTTCCTGACTTAGGCATCGGAGAGGTATCCAGCACACACTCGCCGACTAGCTAACGTTTGTGTTTTCAGGGAGTAAAGTGACGACGTTTTGAGGAGCACAGACTTGATCGACAGGATTATACAAGAACATTATTTCGTGCTCGTACAATTGGAGCCGTCTGTGGGAAATAGACAAAGAACAAAACCTCTTGATCAAGTTCTCTTCTCTAGATTGAAAGCAATGGCGCACGATGAAGACTTGCCGCAGTTTGTTGTTGATGGGCAAACCCCCGAGGGGGGTGGGAGGCGCGGGGGTTTACCTTCCATCCCACCCATGCCGGATTTAGAACCTCAGCGACGGAACTCTCGGAGGGATGGGAGGGAGAGACAGGG